CTAATTTCCAGTTTTGCGGTTTGTTGTCTGGCTTACCTTGTGTAAGACTGAGGTGGTTGCTTATTTGTAACCTGATTTTCTGTCTCTAACATGATCATAATGACAGGATTTACTTTTTGGACTGTTTTGAGGAATAAATGTAGCTAAAGAGCCTAGCACTATAACTGGTATTGAACTGTGGATTTACATTCCCTTTATGAAGCATAAATGTATCAATGAAGTGGATGTGCATTTCTATGAAGTTGTCTATAGGAATTCCGTTAAGAATATAGTCACCTATAGAATAATCACACACATTGCTGTCTTTTCTGTGGTAGTAAGATGTGATGCAGGAAATTAGGAGTAACCCAGATAGTTCTAGAAGAAGTAAAAACAGAAAGCAGCTGTCAATTTAAATATTCATGTAGGGAGATGGTATAATTGAAGGAGTATTCAAATTCACTACTTAGTCACAACCTTTTCCCCAAGAGACACGATGACAGAATTTGGATCCACTATGTCCTTGAAGACAAATTCTCTGAAAGACCCTAAGGTGACATAGAAACTTACCAAGATATGATCTATTTTACTTCCTGGTCATTCATGAAAATAGCATTTCCTTGTCTCACTTGGAGTGTGGTGTGGCCTCATGCCTGTTTAAACACTCAGTGAGAGATGTACCATTTCCAGGTGTGGCCTCTGCAAATCTCCCTACAAACACTTTTCCTCTTGGTTCACTAGAAGGAAAACAGCTCTCAGAGGAAACTTGGAAACCATTTAGTGACAATACAGAGACTTCTAAATGACTATGTGTAGAACTATGATGTCAACCTATTTACCCAGTGATTACTGGTGAATGAGCAAGCAATGAATTCTGCTGTGTTTAAAACAACAAATTTGTGAGTCCACCTGTTAACAAAGCCAGAGTTACCCTCTTAAAGTTACTAAGAAGAAAGACTTGGTAAAGGGATGTAATGAACATTAGTGTAAACTGAAATCGAACATCTAGTATCCATTCTTGTGACTTGTGGGTAGGAAGGGACAACAGGGAAAAGCAGTTGTAAGTGGGAAAACGATGCAAAGAAAGTGGGACATATATCTCGATTGGGTTTAAATCAGGTTTTCAACTTTGACACGACTAGCAGTCAGGCTACAAGTGGTAAGGTGCTCTTCAAGAGCCAGGGTAAATTATAAGCACTTTAGAAGCCTACAGGAGACCTCACCAGAAGCCATTCAGTGGACATTAAGCCATTCAATGTTATTGGAGCGTATTTTTAGGATCAACACTCATGAAGAAAGGCAGGAGGCAGAACTGAGCTGGGAGGAAGACGGGTTGTATTGCGGTCTCCACAAAAACTCACTGAAGCTCGGCGGAATGAGAGGGCTGGGCTTTTGTATTTGCAAAATAACAAGTCATTGGATTCTGGCTGTAGTCTGGGAAAGGCACACAGGCAAGGCATCTGTCTTCAGCCAAGAGAAATCCTCAGAGAGGCCAGAGAGTTGAGAGTACTGCAGTCTGCTAGTGGCTCAGTGGTACTCTTAGCAGCTGGTGATATACTCTTAGGAATTTACCCAAAGGAAATGAAATCAGCATATGAAAGTGTTATTTGTACTCCCATGTTTATAGCAGCTCAATTCACAATAGCTAAGGTATGAAAGCAACCCAGATGTCCATCAACTGATGACTAGATAAAGAAAATATAATATATATACACAGTGGAATACTAGTCAGCCATAAAAATGAATGAATGAATACAATCCTATCTTTTGCAACAAAATGGATGCAATTGGAGACCATTATGCTTAGTGAAATAATCCTGTCCCCAAAAGACAAATATCATCTCTTTATTCTGAACTGTGTAGTTAATATAGCATTAAAAACCCTCCCTGTATAAGAATTAAACTGACATTTTATGATTTTATTATTGTTTATAACCTTTCTCTATATTTCTGTCAAACAGTGGTCTTTCTTCTTTTTTACTTTTTTGAACATTATGATTAATGGTGCATTAAGCCTGTGACTGTAAGCAAATTAAAAGTATGTTATTGCAAAAAGTAAAGGGGGAAAAAAGGAAGGAAAGTAGGTAGGAAGGAAGGATGATAGGGGAATTGAGGAAGGGAGGGGAGGAAATATGGTTATCTTCATAGAATTTTCTATGAAATACGTGACATCTGTTCTCTTTATGGGTATAAAAATTTTAAAAAAGAATTCATGTCATAAATACAAACCATACGACAATATTTTGCTTTCATTTAACATAAATATACATTTGTCAAGCTTTTTATATGGAGCCAAGGTTTTCCTTTAAATGGAAGTATTCAGCTAGGTATTACACTTTTCCTTAAACAATGCTTGTAATGAAACAGCTAATCATTATTCTTTCAAAAATGTGAACCAGTTTAGATGTTAAAGTTACATTAATATGTTTTCCAGTATTATAACCACAAAAATTAATGCAAAATTCTGGCTATGAAAGAAATAACTCTGTCATATACAAAGAGGATGTTTTTAAAATTATTGCTTAATATTGAAAAAAATTCATTGGTCCAATTAAAAGTCCTCTTGGCTCCAATGAACTAGGAATAGCCATTTTATACCCAAACTTTTTGTTTCTCAAAAACATAAACTAAAATAGGAGGATATACTATATTGATAAATGTCGAGGCAAGTCCTTCCTTCCATAATAAACCTCAGAGCACATTTTATGGAAGAAATCAAGAAAAGCACATTGCTTTTAGTGCAATTGGGAAATGTCTGTTATCTGGACCAAATCTGAGGTCTTTAAACTTGGGGATATTTTTTTGATGTAAATGAAGTGAGTCTTGCCACAGGTCTTAAAATTAAAATTTAGTCTCTTTTTTAAGGATCTCCTCTGATTACTGAAATTTTATTCACAGAAAATGCCTTGCTTCGTTTGCTACATGATTAATACAAAATTAAGTACAAGAGGTCTTCAAAAAGTTCATGGAAAAATTCTGTTATGAAATAATTATGCAGTTTTCAAAAATGTTTTCACTAAAATAGGATATATTTTTTTAAATCAATGTATTTCGGGGCCGGCACTGTGGCACAGTGGGTTAACGCCCTGGCCTGAAGCTCCGGCATCCCATATGGGCGCCAGTTCTAGTCCTGGCTCCTCCACTTCCCTCCAGCTTTCTGCAATGGCCTGGGAAAGCAGTAGAAGATGGCCTAAGTCTTTCGGCCCCTGCACCCACAGGAAGACCCAGAAGAAGCTCCTGGCTCCTGGCTTTGGATTGGTGTAGCTCAGGCTATTGTAGCCAACTGGGGAGTGAACCAGCAGATGGAAGACCTCTCTCTCTCTCTCTTTCCACTCCTCTCTCTCTGTAACTCTTTCAAATAAATAAATAAATCTTTTTTTAAAAAATCAGTGTATTTCTTTTAATTTTATTTGAGCAACAGACAGAGATACTCCATCTGCTGGTTCACTCCCCAAGGCCTACTACAGCCAGGTCTGGGCCAAGCCAAAGCCAAGAGCCAGCAACTCAATACAGGTCTTCCCTGTGAGTATCAGGGACTCAAATACTTGAGCCATCACCAGCTACCTCCAAGGATACACATCAAATACCTATCATGGAACTTATCTTTCAATTCCATTGTTCCAAGAAATTCTTGAATTCCTATTGCATTTTGTGTTGGAGTTGTGTTATGAAGCAATTTATAAACTTCACAGCAGTCTTTCTACTCATGTATAATTCAATTGTAAACTCTGAATTTGTGTATTATATATAATTTTATAAAATTAGCAACTTTTAATTTTTATAACCCCGTGATTTTTATATCACATTGAATGTATTTAGAGTATATGACTTCGCTGTTTCTTTACGCTTTTACAAGATGATCACTTTTCTCTGGTTATATGCTTACTGCATTTTTTTATATGAGAATTACATATATTTGTTTATTCATTTATTTTACTTTCAATTTATAAAGCATATGGCCACAGAAAGAAAATTAGCAGGGAGGTGTGAATACAGAGAAATGGGGGAACCACTCTTCTGGAGAACATTGAAAGGAGGATAAACCCCTCTCAGTCTTACTTCATATGAGTCAGGGCTGAAAGTCCTGGCTTCCCAGTGATCCTATATTCTAAGATAGGTCTGATAGTACTTGGCATTACCTGGTTCAGGTCCATGAAAACGTATTGTGTAAGATACCACAGGGCTTATCACAAAATGTGTTCATGGAACTACAGCAGAAATGAGTTAAAGCAAACAAAACATAACGAGAAAAGAAACCGTGTCTTTACTAAGACTATTTATGACATATCTTGCCTTTGTAGGCTTACTAGAATACAGTATGAGGTCTTCCACATGTTTAATCCAAATAAATAAGAGATAAAGCAATATAAATTATTTAATGAGGAAAGGTTGTACAGAAGATTGATTCCTGACTATTCTGGACTATCTTCTAGTTGGTAAAAAAGGAACAATAATCTTTATCATCTTTATTGTCTTCATCATCACCCTCTTGGGAGGTTAAGGGAAAAGAGACTTTACATAAGGCCCATTCACTAGTTACCAATTAAAAGTTCCTTTATAGGAGAAGGGAGAAATCGTAAAATGATAGCCAGAGGTTATTTGTGTAATTCCAGCAAAACTTTGCTACTATCTCTTCTGTTATTGTCCTAGTAACATCCCTCCCCAGTTCTACCCTAAGTTATACTGGGAAGGCTTAGTTCTGGTAGGTCTCAGGACCTACCCAGATAGTATCCAAACAGCCTTGACCATCTTTAACCTGTCACCTAAGATGAACTGAGAGTGCTTCACTGACCTGGATCCTAGAGCTGGGGATTCCTGTTGTGTTTATGTTTGGAACTTCTCTTACTTTTTTCTTTGACAGCTCCTGTGCATCCTCTCAGGAAGCCTTCAATACAAGAATTATCTGTTGGGGAAAGTATTCTCAAACTCCCTCTCCAGACCCTCCTCTGTGCCCCGTAACTTCACGTTTAACTCTATGATCCTTCTTTCACTGCCTTGTCATACACTGATTTCTCTCTTACCGTGGATAGGAAATTCACTAGTTCCAGGATGAGGTCTCACTGTCTCCTGTGATTTACATTGTAGGCAATCGTTGCATACTTCCGAAGAAATGGCTAACCCTTTCTGAAGCCAGTTGAGACTTGTGACTTCTTTGTGTCTTGCCTTCAGGTTGGGCACCTTCTCAGTTTTATTTCCTCAGACGTCTTCCAAAGCCTGGGGTCCTGGATTCTGGAGCCTCACTAAGGTTTACCAGATTTCTCAGGACTCCCAACTCCCGGCCTTCCTCCATGCAAGGAGGCCTGAGGTTTGCCCCATCAGAGATATACTTTCCTTGCCTTTAACGTGGCAGGGGCATGATTCAGATCCTCTGCCACCTCTGTAACAGCTCTGCACTGGTGAGACGCTACTCTCCACACCTTGTGGTGATCTTCCAAGCCTAGAACTGAGAAATGGACATTTATGAAGGATTTCTTTTTGTCAGATCTTTTTGCTGATTTTATTATTGTATCATATCATTTAATCCTCAAATAATTTTATTGATGAGAAAAAGAAACTAAAGAAAATTAGCTAAATTTATACCAGATCATAGAGTAATTAAATATCAGAGTCTAAATTCTAAGTCATATGTTTGAATCTTAACAATGAATTCTTTTTTTTTTTTTTGGACAGGCAGAGTGGACAGTGAGAGAGAGAGACAGAGAGAAAGGTCTTCCTTTGCCGTTGGTTCACTCTCCAATGGCCGCCGCTGCCGGCGTGCTGCGGCCGGCGCACCGCGCTGATCCAATGGCAGGAGCCAGGAGCCAGGTGCTTTTCCTGGTCTCCCATGGGGTGCAGGGCCCAAGCACCTGGGCCATCCTCCACTGCACTCCCTGGCCACAGCAGAGAGCTGGCCTGGAAGAGGGGCAACCGGGACAGAATCTGGCGCCCCAACCGGGACTAGAACCCGGTGTGCCAGCGCCGCAAGGTGGAGGATTAGCCTAGTGAGCCCCGGCGCCGGCCAACAATGAATTCTTAACCAATGTTTTTTCTAGCCCTCAAGAGTGTATCTTTGGAAAAATTGCCTCAGGGAAGTTACCAGGAGAAAGTCCATTGTTTGTGTATATTCTTCAGAATTTCTAAGTGAAATTTGTTTTATTAAAGATTTATTCCCATGCAACCTCATTGAAAATTCATTTAAGAATTATTCTTTCTGCTGTGTTTTGCATCTGTCTTAGGTAAAAATCCACAATGTTAAAGGTATATTTCAGAGGAATTACCAAAGCATGAAACTTGTTTTCCAGCTTTTCAAGAAAAGTTTGATTCTTATAGTCACACTAAAAATATTTCTTAACTGTGCACTGAAGAATATTCTGGTAGAATATCATAATAATAGTTTCTATCTCATTTAACTGCTATTTTGAGACAAATTTTTCTGGTTCTCCCTTTTACTTTCTTTCTTCTGAATATTAAAAGAATTTTTCAGTAAATTATTTATTTGAAAGGCAGAGAAAGAGACGAAGGTCATTCATCCACTGGTTAATTCCCCATCTGCCAAGAGCCAGAGTTGGCCAAGCCAAACAAGGAGCCTACAGCTTGATCAAGATCTGCCACAGGATTACACAGACCAAAGTACTTTAGCTGTCACCTGCTGCTCACAAGGGTACATATGAACAGGAGGTAGAATTGAAGCAGAACCAGCACGCAGACTCAGGTACTCCAATATGGGGTGCAGGCATCACAAGCAGCACTTTAACCAATGGACCACATGCCCTCACTAATAAATTTCTATATTATTGATCTGCTTACAGATTGGATTAATCAACTTACTTTTTATCCAGACTTAGTGGATACTTTGCAGTTCTTAGTGATAAAAAGAAGAGCCCCTTATTTAAAAAAAAAGGAAAGAAAGAAAAAGAAAAGAGAAAACAGGGAAAAACAGAGATAATTTCAAGACTATAACAGCAAAAAAGTAAAACAATGCAACCTTTTGGGAACAGTTTGAGTTAGAGGTAAACCTACAAAGAAGCCAGCTACTGACTCCACTATTAAATATTTGTGCAGGGGAAATAAAAATGTCCATACAAAGACTTGCACAAAATTCTTCATTGCAGCCTTAATAATAATTATAAAAAAGTAGAAACAACCCGAGAGTCCATCATTAGGTAGACAGGTAAACACTATAGACACTCCAAAATAAAAATGGAATACAACCCATTAGCTGGATATTTCATTTGCCAATTTTAAATTTTTACACTCATTTATCTTTAAACCTCCACTCTTCCATTCCACACATGGTCTTTTTCTATCACAAGGTGTTTCTCTTCACAATGTCCTGGAAAACCATTATCTAGATGCTGAAACCAGTGACATCATCTTCTTCTAGGTTCTTCACATGTAACCCATCAGCAAATCAATATGATTTTGCCCTCTAAATAATTTATAAATCTGTTCTTGTCTGTTGATGTCAACTACTGAAATCCATACCTAGGAAACCATTATAGGTTGTCACCTCCCATTACTGCAAGCATCATGCTTGTGCAATTGTATAGGTTGCACACTATGATATCACATACAGGGGCCAGTGCTGTGGCACAGTGGGTTTATGCCATGGCCTAAAGTGCTGGCATCCCATATGGGTGCCAGTTCTAAACCCAGCTGCTCCACTTCCAATCCAACTCTCTGCTATGACCTGGGAAAGCAGTAGAAGATGGCACAAGTCCTTAGGCCCCTGCACCCACGTTGGGGACCTTGAGGAAGCTCCTGGCTCCTGGCTTCAGATGGGTTCAGCTCCAGCTGTTGTGGCCAATTAGGGAGTGAACCATCAGATGGAAGACCTCTCTCTCTCTGCCTCTCCTCTCTTTTTGTATAACTCTGTCTTTCAAATAAATACATCTTAAGAAAAAAACACATACAATTTCATGAATATTCCTGAAAATGTTCTTAACAAGAATATATTTAGAATCACAATGACACATATAGCTAAGAATGGAACTGAATGTGTGTTTGTGTGTGTGTGTTTACATATAAATTAAGGTACTTCAAAAATTCATAGAAAAATAGCATTAAGAGAAATTTATGGCCAGCGCCACGGCTCACTAGGCTAATCCTCCACCTGCGGCACCGGCACTCTGGGTTCTAGTTCCGGTAAGGGTGCCGGATTCTGTCCCTGTTGCTGCTATTCCAGTCCAGCTCTCTGCTGTGGCCCGGGAAGGCAGTAGAGGATGGCCCAGGTACTTGGTCCCTGCACCCGCAAGGGAGACCAGGAAAAACACCTGGCTCCTGGCTTCGGATCAGCGCAGTGCGCCGGCTGTAACAGCCTTTTGGGGGGTGAACCAATGGAAAAAGGAAGACCTGTCTCTCTGTCTTTCTCTCTCACACTGTCTAACTCTACCTGTCAAAAAGAAAAAGAAAAAAAGAGAGAGAAATTTATTTGCTGCAAAATAATTTTGAAATAAATGCATGTTTTCATAATATGCATTTTCATGAACTTTTTGAAGGCCGTGTGTGTGTGTGTGTGTGTGTGTAATTAACTTTGTTCTCCTTAATTTGATTACCATTTGGGGGAAAAGAGTGTATGTCATTAAATAGTAGTGATGAGACTCCATAGTTATGTGTTATCTTTATTGCAGCTTATGGAAATCATTGGTTAATATATAGTTTACATTTGAGAAATAGGTCAAAGGAAGAAAAGCAAAAGTCTCTATTTTATTAACTTCTTGTCTAATAATAAAAGAATCACAAAATGCCTTCTCCTGAGCCTTCATTAATTGCGAACAAAATATAAGCAGTTAGAAGAACATTGATAAAAAGGGGACACAGCAACTTAGTAGAACCTCTCTGTTACAAAAATGCTGCATTTGCTCCATGATTTGCATACAAACTGTTTATGGAAAGATATTGGGTTTTGTCTTGATTTAGTAGTGGGAATATGTCATATGATGAGAAAGAGTTCATACCAGCAATTTTACAAGTAAAAATAACTTTATAGGAGAAAAAGTAATCAGAAACAGTGAAAATTCCATTATTGCTCTAGTTTAAATTCTCATCTTAAGACTAATGTTTAAAAAATTACATATTTTCAGACCAACAAAGAACCACTACAAAATAAGAAATATAATCATGGAATATTTAAAATTTATCAAGTATTTGCAAGTAGCAAAATGTGTTATACTTATATATTTCAGTCAACCAATTAATGTCTAAGTGTGTGTATAACAATGCCAGGAATTTAGTAAACTGGACTGAGACTTGATTTAGTAAATGGTGTTGGTTTGATTTTCTCAGTGAGTTTATGACAAATATAACTGAATTTTAGTTGTTGCTTTTAATTGAATTTGTAAGAAAACAAGACCGCTTGCTCCATTATGATTGCTTTCCTAGAGGCAATTTTGCAGCTATGATTATAAATAAACTTCTATTATCAAGTCTTATTTCCCATAAGACAGGAGGAAAAAATCCATCATTGATTCTCCCTTGTGTGTGTTTCATGGTTTCTGGCAATATGTAAACCTTAAGAGTTTATGTTCCCTCTTTAGACTTTTTATAGCTTATTTTGATTTTCAAAAAGTTTTACTTTGTTTTTATAGAATTTTATTCAAGTAACTTTATAAAAGATACAAAAATTAGCTGGACCACATCACATCAAATACTATGTGATCATTATGGTAAAACTTAATAGACATATATAGACATATAGAATGGAGTTTTAAATGTGATCTCAAAGCTTGCAATCTGTTAGTGAAACCTAAGATTAAAGTATAATAATATATACTCATTCATTCTTTCAGTTATTTTTTAAACTTTTATTTAATAAATATAAATTTCCAAAGTACAATTTTTGAATTATAGTGGCTTCCCCCCCATAACCTCCCTCCCACATGCAACCATGCCATCTCCCACTCCCTCTCACATCCCATTCTTTATCACAATTCATTTTAAATTATCTTTATATACAGGAGATCAACTTAGTACATACTTAGTAAAGATTTCAACAGACTGCACCCTCAAAGACACACAAAGTATAAAGTACTGTTTGAATACTAGTTTTACCGTTAATTCGCATAGTACAACACATTAAGGACAGAGGTCCTACATGGGGAGCAGGTGCACAGTGACTCCCATTGTTGATTTAACAATTGACACTCTTATTTATGACATCAGTAATTATCCGAGGCTCTTGTCATGAGCTGCCAAGGCTATAGAAGCCTCTTGAGTTCACAAGCTCTGACCTTATTTAGACAAGGCCATAGTCAAAGTGGAAGTTCTCTCCTTCCTTCAGAGAAAGGTACCTCCTTCTTTGATGGCCCGTTCTTTCCACTGGGATCTCACTCACAGAGATCTTTCATTTAGGTTTGTTTTGTTTTGTTGTTTTTGTTTTTTGCCACAGTGTCTTGGCTTTCCATGCCTGCGAAACTCTCATGGGCTCTTCAGCCAGATCTGAATGCCTTAAGGGCTGATTCTGAGGCCAGGGTACTATTTAGGGCATTTGCTATTTTATCAGTCTGCTGTGTATCCTGCTTCCCATGTAGGATCATTCTCTCCTTTTTAATTCTATCATTTATTATTTGCAGACACTGGTCTTATTTATGTAATCCCTTTGACACTTAATCTTGTCTTTTTGATCAATTATGAACTTAAACTGATCACTAGTATTTCTTAAATAATAGGTTCTGTATTCACTGCTGGTAATATAATGATGAGTAAAATGGCATACAATTCCTTGGTTTACAGAGCTAATAAATTTAATATTGCCATTGTGATAAACCTATAATGAAGGTCATCATGGTGCTATGACTAAAAGTGGAATTTGTCCTTCCTTCAGCTCTTTCTCCTCTCATGTGTTCTGGCACAGTGGCCAGAGTGAGACTTTCACCATATATGTACATATGTCTCTCCACTGCTCCAAAATCTTCCCATACTGTTCAGAGTAAAAATATTTGTTTACTTTCTGATCTTAACTCTCACTCTTGCCTAATTCATTCCTCTTTGATCTTAAATCCTCAGACATCTCAGGACATTGCTCTGCTCTGCTCTTTGCCTGAACTTCTCTCCTCAGCTACCCAAGGTCGTATTCCTTAACCCTCTTAAGGTCCTAATTAAATAAAATTCTCTCATCGAGGCCTTCACAAATCATCCTATTTGAAACTTAAACATCAAATCTTTGGTATTTTCTAATCTCTTCTATTCTTTACTCTTCCCCAGCACTGGTCACGATGTAATGAATCCTGTTATTTATTTGCTTTGTCTTTTGTATGTCTCCTGTATTAAAATATAAGCACAACAAAGAAAAAGGTTTTTTTTTCTCTCTCCATTATTGTCAGTTCCTAGCCCAGGGCCTGCCTGGCACATAGAAGACACAATATTTGCTCAATGAATATATCTGTGGTCAAGGTTTAGGATAAAATCTCTGAGCAACTGACAATTTTGCTTAAAAACTCAACAAATTAAATTGATATGAATCAAGCAAAGAGAAGAAAATAATAACAGTAAAAGTAGCATTAGTACTTTTAGTGCTTGCTGTGTGCTAAGTGGCTTACATTTATTTTAACTCTTAATCATTAAGACAAACTTGCAAGATAAGTACAATTTTCACCTCCACTTTACAAATAACAAGCTAGATTACAGAGAAAGTTTTCTTTACAGAGGAAATGGTATATGTAAAAGCTTTCTGGCTGGAGGAAATATAGCAAGGAGTAATAGAAGAGGGTGTGTGAATGGAGCGTAGAGAGCTAGAGGATATGGGTCAAAAGCAACCTGGAGAGGAAAGTGAGAGGCCAGGTGACCAGTGGCCTTGCTTGTAGAGTGATCACATATTCTTCAGAATGGTTCTGATTTATTCCTCTTGTTCTCAAGTAATAAGGTAAGCTCTCTTTTACAGTCAAAATTTGACTGAGTCCTGTCTCTCTCCTAAGAATGAAAAGTCAATGAGAGGTAGTATGATTAGATTTCCATTCTGAGCAAACAACTCTGGCTGTGGTGTTAAAAATAAACAGAACTGGAATAATTTGTGTGGGGAGATGTTTTAGGATCCAATATTCTTTTGTTAAAGATTTATTTATTTATTTGAAAGGCAGAGTTACAAAAAGAGAGGCAGAGGCCTACAAATAGAGAGAGAGAAGTCTTCCATCCGCTGGTTTACTCCCTAAATGGCCTCAACAGTCGGAGCAGAGCTGATCCAAAGGCAGGAGCCTGGAGTTTCAAGCAGGTCTCACACATGGGTTCAGGGGCCCAAGGACTTGAGCCACCTTATACTGCTTTCCTAGCCCATAGCAGAGTACTGGATTGGAAGTGGAGCAGCCAGAACTCAACCGGCACCCATATAGGATACCAGCACTGCAGGTAGCAACTTTACCTTCTATGCTACAGCGCCAGCCCCAGGAGACAATATTCTTTAATGGTTGCCTGGGCATGGTTTTTGGTAGTTTACATTAAGAGACAAGGACTGATTTGCAAAATATTTACAGAGTAGACTCATATATACTTGGTGGTGGTTTATATATGAAGGGTACATAGCAAAAGATTTTGTTAAAATAATTCCTAGATTTCTGTTTCAGAATCAGGATAAAGGATTTCCAGGGCACTGTGATGAGGAACAATGAAAAAAGACCTTGTGTATGTTTGTGTGTGTGTGTGTGTGTAAAAAGCAGGAGTTTAGAATTGAAGATCAGTAAGATTGAGAATTTTTAATGTCAGTCATATGATTTCAGTGTTAGTTATGAATTGTCCAATAAGATGTCTAATCCATGAGTAATAGTCCATTTTTTTTTATATACTACAGTTTTGACCTATCGACCTCTCAATAGACATTTAGATTGTTTCTACCATTTGTAATTACCAATAAAGCTAAAAGGAAAATTTCTCTATGAGTGTTTGTATGGACATAGCATTTATTTCTCTTAGGTAAATATCTAAGACTAAATTGGATGGATCCTTTGATAAGCTTATGTATAACTTTTTAAGAAATTGAAAAATCATTTCCTAAGTGATTATTACTACTTTTCATCCCTATCAACAATGTGTGAGAGTTTCAATTTCCACATATTTTCACCAAAACTTGCCATATTTCATATTTTTAGTTTTATCCATTCTAATGAGTATGCAGTGATATTTCATTGTAGTTTTAATTTAATTTTAATTTATATCTCCCAAATGCCAAAGGAGTTTAGCTTCTCTTCATGTGTTTATTTACTATCTGTATATATTCTTGGATTTCTCTTTTGGTGGAGCATCTATTCAAATCATTTGCTTCTAATACTATTTGATTGTAATAAGACTATTTCAGCATTGTTTTTGGAATTCTAAATGATATGGTGTTTTTCTTCTTTTCTTTAAGTACTTTAAAGCTATGATTCTTACTTGTGTTATTTCTGATAAGAAGTCTGTGGTCCTTGTTTTTTTTTTTTTAATCCTTCAGTATATAACATATATTTTATTTGGGTTCCTTTTAGATTTTCTATCAGCGAGTGAACAATTTAGTGGGTTGGGTAGTTTTCTTCATGTTTCTTGTGTTCCAAGTTAACTAAGTTTATTGCATTGGTGAATCCACAATATTCATCAATTTTGGAATAATTTCACCCTTATTTCTTTTTTTTAAGATTTATTTTATTTATTTGAAAGACAGAGTTAAAGAGAGAGGTAGAGACGGAGAGAGGTTTTCCATCTGCTGGTTCACTCCCCAGATTGCCGCAACAGCTGGAGCTGTGCCAATCCGAAGCCAGGTACCAGAAGCTTTTTCCAGGTATCCCATGTGAGTACAAGGGCCCAAGGACCTGGGCCATCTTCTACTTCTTTGCAGGCCATAGCAGAGAGCTATGAGGATCGCAAGAGGAGCAGCCGGGACTAGAACCGGTGCCCATATGCGATGCCAGCACTTCAGGCCAGGGCGTTAACCTGCTCACCACAGCACTGGCCCCTACCCTTATTTCTTTAAATACTTTTCTGTATCCTCTAAAATTATATGCATATTCACCTCTCTCCTTACTTCATTTTGATAAAATATCTATCACCATGTCTTCAAGTTTACTAATCCTTCCCTCTATAATGTCTAATATACTGTTAATCTCTTCTAATATATTCTGTACCTTATGTGTTATTGCTTTTTCTTTAGAAATTTGATCATGGTCTTTATTATACTTGCTTGGCTCTGCTTAAATTTCTAAACAGTTGGCTTACAGTTTTGATAATGATTATATTTCTATTTTTTGTAAATTCTAACATTTGTATGAATTCTGGATCAGCTTTGGTTGATTGCTTTTTCTCTGCATGATAAGTCTCATGTTCCTGCCTCTTTACATTTCTGGTCATTTATAACTGTATTTCAGACATTAAGGATTTTAAGTTCAGTGACCGGATATTTTTGAATTCCTGTAACTATGCTTACCACAACTCCCATCCCTCTTCCTACTGGGATGAAGTTAACTTACTTGGAAGCCATCTGATCCTTTAAAGTCTGGCTTTTAATTTTATTTGGTGGGCTGAAGCAATTATGTGTGTAGAACTAGTATCTTTCTGATGATGGAAGTCTCTTGTGAGTACTTCATCCGAGGCCCCAGGAATCATGAAATTTTCAGTTGAATGGTGGGAATAGGCATTTCTCATGTTTCTGTGTGAGCACTGGACACTAGTACTGCCACATCTTACTGTTAATTGTTTTTCAAATAATTTTATTATTTATTTATTTGAAATGCAGATATACACAGAGAGAGGCAGAGAGAGAGACACACACATGCATGCACACACACACACACAAACAAAATCTTCCATCCACTGATTTACTTCTCAAATAGCTGCAATGGCCAGGGCTGGGCCAGGCTGAAGCCAGGAGCTTTCTCTGGGTCTCCCATGTGAGTGCAGGGGCCCAAGAAACTTGGACTATATTCTGTTGCTTTCACAGGTGTGTTAACAAGGAACTGGATGTGATGTGGACTTGAAACAGTGCCCATATGGGATGCCAACACTGCAGGAAGGGGCTTAACTTTCTATGCCACAGTGCCAGCCTCTCAAACTGTTGATCATTTTCTCACTGGTACATGCTGAATCCTCCAGGGAGACTCTGAGTATCTTTAAAGTTCATATAGTTATGGGATCTCTGGTACCCTGTCTTATGAACTCTA